ATCCGGGGTGATCCCCTGCAAACACACGCCCTCCGGACAACAACCGGGGCGGGGCAAGCAGACAGTCTGAACACACCCCGGGCCTCGCCCCGGGGCGGACAGTCTGAACACAACCGAGGCGGGGGCGGACAGTCTGCACACAGCAGCAGAGCATGGAGGGGGAGGGGGGCGGACAGTCTGAACTGATACGAGGTGTACGTATACCGACATCTTTGCTTCGAACCAATTTCAGAAGTCTAAGAATTTTTGTAACTTTTGGAAACCTATGGTTTTGCCCAGGAATTAAACTTTGCATTATTATCTGCCATTATCCTCATCATTATTGCAGTGGAATATTGACTTTACCCTGTAAAAAAGGGGGAATCAGCTCAGCCTAAGAGTCCCCCCTTTGCTGTGAACGAAGGATTATAAAATGAAAGCGATATTGTGCTATTAACGTAATACTGCCAATAAAGTGTGTGCTATCGATGTTCTTTGTCCCAATAATATCAGCCTGTGCACGAAGAAATATCGGATTTGAAGACTCATAAGTAATTAAAAGCTTTGCGTTACGAGGATTAATGCTCGTGACGATTGTCACAAAAACGATGAATGTGCTTCTCAGTGAACCAAAACAAAAACTAATGCGATGGAAGCTGAGAAATGTTTCGACCATTTTTTATAAATATTTGAGCACGATTGATTTAAGCTACTGCGATGCTACAAATTAGTCTGGCACTGTTTATTCAGTAATCATCAGGTTTTGAATAATGAAGTACATAGAAAATTTACGTGATATATGCTGGTTCAGACCCTTCTGTACTTTTTTCCTGAACTGCCCATAAGACACCAGGCTCTCGTACACGTACCGGGTGATTCAGAGAAGACGCCTCCTCACCTCTCCCCGACCCGGACCCGTGCGCCCGCCGAGTCGAGGATAGGCAAACCCGCCCGCACCTGCGTCTTCTCTGAATCACCCGGTACACCCTGTAATATATAAAGTCTGCACTCTGCTCCACGACCAGGTAAACATCAACCAGGCAAGAACTCGACAAGTCTGACCCTTTTGGTGGTAACTTTAAGACAATACTTGTGATGACAGTAGGAGGTTTGGTTTGCCATCATATTCTTTGTCCATCGCGCAAACATCTTGTAAAGATTATCTTTCAAACGTCTACAAGGCTATTAGTCCTTTATTTTGAAGGGAAAACGCGAGGTGATTGAGGACAAGTGGCTCTAATCTTATTGGCCGTGTTCGAAGGAATATTGCATAGTATTGGTAATGTAAATAATATTTAAGGGATCTTCTACGCTAGTAATACCTTGCAAAGAATTTTGCTGCCATAAGGCTACACGGAGGAAATTCTTCGCAACTCCGAAGGAGTTTACTTCGCATTACAAATGCGATCGTCCGCAATTGCAAAGCACCCGCACAATCGTTCGTAATGGATTTAGAGTAGTGTGAAAAGTACGTCCGTCAATCGTCGTTTCAAAACTACGAAGCTCGGTCTATGCAAGCTGCCATAGCGCCTGATGGGTAGGCAACATCGTGCCTGCAGTGCACGCGTGTACTGCAGGGTAGCCTACCCCGAGTCTCGCAGGCGCTGAGCTCCCGTTATTTGGCAAATGGATTTAAGAAAAACGGACGTACTTTCTAGACAATCCCAAAGTACTATTCAAAAATAATATTCATTATAATGAACATTGGCGTAATATTACTGTAATGTTGCAGTAATATCGCCGACAATATCAGTAATATCGATGTAACATCATGATAATTTACTCATAAAAAAATATTTGTGATGGTATCGGCTTGCGTATTGTGTTCGTAGTATCCGAGTTCACGTGTGCCTGCCGGCAGGGCAACACGAAGCTAGACGAGAGGAGAGGTCCCGACTCCGGAAAACGGGCAGCATAGTGTCCACCCTGACGGGGTGGTATTGTGCCCCAGTCGGAGGTGCTTCGTCCCCGGCGCCCCGGCCTGCCCCCCTGCGGGGGTGCTGCTGCCAAGGGCAGCACGGGCAGCGAGGTCGCCTTGAGGGGGTGGGTGGAGGCCAGGGTGGGGGTGGCGGCGAGCGACCCCCTTAGAGTCGGCAAGCGCGGCACCGAGGTGCGTTTTCGAATCACGACGACCCGCCCCGCGGGGGGCTGGGCCTGGCCCGCGGCCTGGCGTGGCCCCTCGTGTTGGTGGACGCCCCCGGCCCCACGCGGCTCCGCGCGGCGTCTCGTCCCGTCCCTATTGATTGTTATGTTGCGTTGCGGGTTTGTGGGCAGGGGCGCGCGGGGCCGCGTGGGGCCGCGGAGGTGCTGGTGGCGCCGCGGGGGTCTGCACAGCGGCCCCCACCGAGGCCCGAGCAGCAGTGTTGATGTCGTACGTACCAGCGTGTGGCAGCGGACTGCACGGCTCCTCGCCAGGTTGCTGCTGTTGTCTTGTGGGCCTGCCTCGCCCCGCCCGGCCCGCGCGGCCCCGCCGGGCCCCGCCCGGCCCCTGGTGGGGCGCCGTGTAGCGCCGCGTGCCCGGGCTGGGCGACGCCTGGGCGTGCTGCTGGGTCGGGCTGGCCGGTGTGCGTCTCACACCGAGGACATGACGGTCACCACACTGCAGTGTACGACACACTACGCGCGCACGCGGGGCGGGGTGGCTGGAGCAGGGTGGCGCAGGCTGGGCCCCCTCTCTCGGCTCGGCTCCCTTCGGCTCGGCTCGGCCCCTCGCCTCGCAGTCCGCGCTCGGCTCGGCTCGCTGCGCCGCAAAGCCCTCAGCACCGCTCGCCTGGGAGCTTCGTGGGCGACTGAGCT